TGAGTAACTGGTATGTTGGCTATTGTTCAAATATTTCTCTTAAATTGTTTGGAGGTTAAAGGCAACACCCAAAATATCCAGCTCATAAACTTAGGAGTAATCTTTGACTTCTTGACCCTCTCATTCGGTATCACTAAATCCTGGCGCCCCCAATTTCCCTCAAATGTGTCCTTACTAGCCTGCTTCGGCTTCCAAGGACTTATTATCTGGCCTACCTGCTGTTTCCAGTGGAGCCTCTGGTCCGTCCTGTGTAACCACAATGATCAGACACAAGTTTGACATCTCTTGCGCTAATGGTTCTCCTCTATCTGTAACAGAGGCTTAAAAGACATGTACTTCTGGAGAATCAGAAATCCATATGTATTCAAGCTCGTGAACGTTTTAATTATTGTGAATCAAGAAAGGGATACAGCATACTGGTTAAGAGCATGGGCTCTTAGTTCCCAGAAATGGAAATACTAGTGTTCTTAAGTATATGAAAAAAAAGATGTTTGATCTCACTTACAAGATGGAAATTTCAAAGTACACTGACTGAAACAACTGACTTGTAATCCTCAAAGCTGTCAAGTTAATGAAATACATGAAAAGTCTGAGAAACTGTCCCAGCCAAACGAATCAAAAGAGACATGGTGATGATTAAATGCAATGTGGTATCCTGGATCAGAAAAAGGGCCCTAGGTAAAAAAGGAAATATGAATAAACTTGCACTTTAGTTAATGATAAGGTTCATGAATTGTGACAAATATACCAGTTATGTTAAGATGATAACATTAAGGGAAACTGAGTGGAGGTATATGGAACCCTGTACTGTGCAACTTTTCTGTAAACCTAAAACTGTTAAAAAAATAAAGTTTATTTTTAAAGCACACACTATAGTAACCTACCAGATTGGTAAACATCCACAAGTTTGAGAACACACTTGTTTTGCTGAGATCATGGGGAAATAGGCACTCTTAATACATTGCTAGTAGGAACATAAATTGGTACAACCTTTGTGGAAGGCAATTGTAATTATAAATGCTCATTCCCTTTAGCATAGCAATTGATTGTGTATGAATGGTATCCTCAATGTTATGTACTCTCAATTTTATATATATATATCCTCAATTTTATTTATATATATATATACATACATATATATACATACATATATATATAAGCATTGCTTCTAATAACAAAATACTGAACAAACTTAAATATACATGAATTTGATACATCCATTCAGTGGAAAACTGTTAGCAGTCTCAAAGGTGACCAAGTTCTATATGGAGAACCGGATGGTAAGGGACAAGAATGGGAAAAATTCTTCAGTCTCTATATATTTTTGTAACCTTTGAATTTTGAACTACATTATTATATTACCTAACCAACCATTTTTAAAAAATTAAATGGAACAATTTTTGTATCACAAAAATCCAAAGAAGAAAAATGGGTTTGGGGTGGGGTCACACTGTTTGGATTTCTCAGTTCCCACAGTTATTGACAGTATAGCATAGTAGTCAATCTGGATTTTAACTTTTGCTTTGGCAAATTACAAGACTGAGTTTTAGTAAGTTTCCTTACTGCTATAGGCCAGTTTGCTCACCTGGAAAATGGGGATAATACCTCAGTAATATACAAAACTATGGTTTTAAAATCACTTGACAGGATGGCCATCTATGAATAAATATTCCAATAGGTTATCCAATAGGGTCAAATGTATTCAAACTAGCTGTATTGCCATGGTCAAGTTAGAAGATAAAACCAAAGAGCAGCTTCTGGAAGACATTGTACTTTCTATCCTGGGAACTACTAATAGATCAAAAATCTCATGGAAAGTATTAGTGTGGGTTATATCATAGCCTACATCAAGCAAATCCTATGTGGTGCTGGGGCTGAATTCTGCCGCTCAACCAAAATGTCTAATTGACAAATTAATCAATAAGGAAATGGAAAAATACACCAAGGTTGATAGTGTGTTTATTCCTTGGGAAAGTGGCAAAGGGTGAAACAAAACTATACTAACCACCACATCAGACTTGTATACAACTTCTAATACACACTACATTAGAAATGTACTAGGTGGGATGGGGGGAGAATGAATGGCGAAAAAGATATATTCACATAGGCTGAAATTGCAACTAGATAGGAAGGTCATAAGAAAGTGTTCTATGTGCCTGCGTATGACTGTAGCCAGCTCAAGTGGTAGGTACCAAGGGACAAACATTCAGAAAATTACACTAGGTGGAACATCAGGCTATTTCTAGCTCTGCCAAACTTATTAACTGTGGAATAATAGCTATTCTGTTTCCCATGGCATCCCTCTCCCTACTTTAAAAGGATATCAGACAGTATATAAAAAACTTTGAGATTTCTAGATGTTATTCACAGGCACAGAGATATTAGTATGAGGTCATTTCACCCCTAGAAGAATTTATGACAAACTGAAAAATATGCCTCATTTGTCTTTCTGACAATTAAACAAGTTGTTTAATTAAGCCAGAAGTTCCTCCTTAAAATAGACATATTTTCAGGATTTGTTCTTTTTGAGCACTTTGTTCATAGCACACTTCTGATGAATACATTATGAAGCAATTTATAGATATGGAAGAAGATGCTAAAACCAAAAATCTTTCCTTGAAGAAGGATAGGATCACTCATCTAATATGAGATAGCATAAATGCTGTTATACAGCATCTTTTTCAAAAAACAAAAAAGTAGTCAAGCACTGGGAAAGTGTAAACATGACAAATTAAAAAATTCTCCTTCATATAATTTCAGCTGGTCTTTAACAATGATTAGAGGGGCTCAAGATTTCATCACCTGACATAAATGCTGCCTTAAAACTACTGGCAAAAATAGGTTATTTCTCATCTTTTAATTAATATTTGTTCAAAAGTGTCATGTTGAACCAGAGAGTCAGGAGGAACCTTAAAGATAATTTAGTCCAAGGCTCCAGATTCCAAACAGTACCAGTAAATTTTGCAGTGTTACCTTATTAAACTAGATGCCACTTGCCATCCACTGTCCTCCTCTATGTCCTGTAAAACAAAAACAAACACACACACACACACACACACACAGAACTCCCAGTACAAAGTCAACAGGAGTACTGTAGCCTTCTCTTTCTTTATTTTACTAAGGAACTTTATAGTAAGCACTTACTGGTAGTGAAAAGACATAAAAGAATCACAAAACTTTGAAGAAATGAAAAGTCATTTCTTTCAGTTGAGAAAAACAACATGGTCCAACTTTTTCATGTTATAGAGAAAATATTATGTCCAAATGAAATTGTCTAGTTAATTAAGAATCAACAAGACAAAATCCAGTATTTCCTCCAATACTGAATGTGGAACTTAATTTATGAACAGACTATTTTACTGGAGTTGGACCTCCAAAAACAATACTAAAATGTTTTTCTCTAGGGTATAAGAGCATGTAATAATACTGGACTCAAAAATTAAGAAAACTCAAGATTATACTCAAAAGCACTTTACCCACAGAAATCATCGACAAAATTAAATGGTCTCTAGATTATTTTCATATTCTATATTTTTGAGTGGGAATGAAAATTTAACTAATAAGAACTACTAATTTGAGAAGTTTGGATAGGAAAAAAAGAGGCTATGTACGTTCTGATATTTAGTTTACTCATAAGGTGATGAAAATCACTACTACTCATTTGAAAAATATTTTATTCCCTTAATATGTACCCCTCAGGATGGTCATGTACATTCAGCACAACAGAAATTCAGCTCAGTAATTCTAGAAAACTAAGCACTAGCCACTGAAGCCCCAGTTGCCTAATGGATAAGGCATAGACCTCCTAAGCACTAGCCATACTTTATTGCAACCAAAAATTATACACCAATTGTAACTACTACTACATTTAATGTCATCAAAATTTTTAAATAATGTATAAACCAAAAATAACACGCTGAAGATATGGTCACTCAATTAAAAGCCATCCTGACATTGTGTTCTTGCTCCTTGTGAAGACGATTCTGGAAAACCTGTGCTACCTCTTCTACCTTCCTTTGCAGCATGCCTAAAGGGGGGAAATGTCATGCATCATTAATCTGAGACCAAAAAAATAACAGGAACATAACTTATATTCTCCTTCCAATATACGATTTATAAAACTTTACATATTGGTGTTTACAGCTCTAAGTATTATAATTACAGAAAAGTATTTGTCTATCTGTTTGGAAACTATAAAAACAGTAGACAAGACTGTTCTTGATTTGCTCTCCCTAGCTTTCCAGTATATAGCAATCTACTTGACATTTATGTTTTGTTGAAGAAAAGTGTTAACTGCTTTTTTATACATTATAGCCTAAAGGTGCCATACAGGTGGTCATTAAGTTGAGGGTATAGATTTTCGTAGGTCTTTGGTGGCCTATAAGCAAATTAATACATTGAGTATATTCACATTTCTACTCCCCTCCTAATGATTTCTTTAACTTGGTGGTCCTTAAATTTTCTTAAGGGCAGAGCAACACAAATACCATTAATTTTACCATGTAAAACAGCAACTTCCTGTAGTAAAATAAGCTTTTGAAGTAAGCATGATAATCTGAATTTTTCTTTTAACGTACACAAATAAACTTGGCCATTTGTTTTAGTATTCATTAATGCTCATTAGTTGATAAGCAATAACTGGTGCCAAAGATTTAAGAAAAACTTTATAAGGGAAAAACTAAAGATTTGAATCAATATACTTTAATTTTATTCAGCCAATGGGAAAAGCCCAAATGTTATTCAGTTTCTAAAGTATAATAATTCATTCTATCTTATAGGCACTGTAAAATCACACTTTATGAACAAGTTATTTAAATAATGGCTGGCTAGAAAAACAATGTACATTGAGCCCAGCAAAATATATCTTATTTTTGTAGTAATAACTAACTGCAGGGTAAAATGTTTCTCCCTATATAAGATTTTTCAATGTGATAATAATGTAAATGAACACTATAACAAACCATTAACTTGAGGCCAGAAGAATTAACATATTAAATGCAAAGCAATACATTTTATAAAAATTTAAGAATCAATAAAATATCAAGAAACACAAATCCGTATTAAGTTAACTTTACTGTAAACATTTTGTCATGTCTTCAAATTGAATTCCCAGGACTATTTCTGTATTAACATACTTCAACTTTTTTAGGAATTTCATTCTTTAAGGGAAAAAACTGCACATAGGCAATTAACTACCTCGAGTGCTAGTCCAATGACAGGTTTCAATGATTGGTTCCTGCAGGCCTACTAAATTATATATCGTACTATAAGTTGAATGCTAG